AGAAACAAACCACCTCTACATATTAAGGAAAGAAAATATTTTTGTCAATTCTTATTCTTTTATAATTATGTGTGTAAGAAGTAGGCTCATTAAACGATTCCAGATGGAAGCGTTGCCACCTGCCTGCGTTTCCTTCTAAGTACTGGGGATGGTGATGAGGGCCTTTCTGAATGTGCAGAGTCCAGGAAGTGACAGAGCCGAAAGCATGAGGCTCATTGCAGTCAGCCCTGGCTGCCTTGGCACAAAAGAGGGAGGGACACCGTGCCCTGGCTGGAAGATCCCCTGCCATCCTCATCAGTGTAGCCTAGTGAAGACAGTCCCCACAGTCCTGATGTGTCACTTGGGGACCCAGCATAGGATGTGGTGGGCAGCATAGATGGCCCCCAAGGCTTTTCCAGGGCAATAGCACAACCCAAGGTACAGCATCCTGGCTGAATGCTCTGTGGGCCACCATTGCTTCCTTTTGCAGCTGTGCTTGTCCAGAGGCTTGACTCTGGTTCAGGAAACTCCCCTTTTCATGTTTGTCTCAATAGCAGAGAGACCTAGGGAGACTGGAGACTGTGCCTGTGTAGATGGTATGCATGGTGCTTGAGTTTCTGACAGCAGGATGGCCTTGCTGAATGCAGTCACCCTCCATCCTTTTTGAAGGTCCACTTTTATTTTTAATGCCTTAAAAAAATAAACTTCAGTGCAAAAGGATACAGAGAGGAAAGACGCCCTCCCTCCCAAGAGGTAATCCCGCCTCAGTCTACTTTTAATAGCTGCATTCTATTTGGCTTTGTGAATGTTCCATCATTTATTTTGCCAGGCACCTATCAAGGGGATAATATGTTATTCTGGGCTTTTTGTATTAATCAGTATAAATCAGGTCAGCTGGCCTCCTCTGTAAAGAACCACACAGTAAATATTTTGGGCTTTGTGGGCCAGATAGTCTGTGTTCCAGCTACTCAGCTCTGCCCTTGTAGTTCAAAAGCAGCCACCAATGATATGTAAATGTGTAGGCATGGCTGTGTGCCAATAAAACTTTATTTACAAAACCAGGCAGCTGGCCAGATTTGGCCCACAGGCTGTAATTGGACAACCCCTGTGATACTGCAACAAATAGCCTTGACATATTTTGGACATAAGTTTGAGTTTATTGGGTAAATTCCTAGAATTATCAAAAGGCATATTCATTTTTAATTCTTAAAGAATACTGCCAAATTGCCTTCCAAAGAGAACGCCTCAATATACACTTGGCCAAGAGGGAAGAAGTGTGCCAGTTTCTCCCTTACTTCACCAGTATTACATGCTATCAAACATTTTTTATCTTCACCAATCTTAGAAGTGAAACATGGCATCTCACTGTAATTTGAACTAAAATTTCTTTTATGTGTGGAATATTTTCATGTTTTAAGACACTCATTTACTAGTAATAATTTGCCCACCTTTCTTTCGATCTATTGACCTCATTGAGTTGTAGACACTATATATGAAGGAAATTAGTCCATTGTCATACAGGTTGCAAACTGAACTATGTTGCTGATTTCAAAGTGTTTTATGGATAGAAAGCTCAGCCAATGAATGGTTAAAATCATCTCAGGAACAGATGTCTTTCACTTAATCCACTATGAAATAAAATGGAGAGGAAACTAGTCATAAGTCACAGAATGATAGAAACTGGTGAGAAAGGGGACACTGGGGTCGCCCCAGGAAGCTTGGCAGCTGGCAACCCTCAATCATGTCAAAGCAGGAACTCTTCTACCCCTGCTTCACTCAGTCAACACTCAGATTGCAATGAGACAGCATCCATTGGCCAAACTTCAATTAGTCACATTCCTGCCCCAATAACGAGGTCCGGAAAGGGAAGTGGGGTGCCAACAGGAAGGGAATGAATTATGCGCAGCTACAAAAGGACAAGTGTCTGCTGACAGGTCTCAGTATCTCAGAGGTGGCAGGTTAGATATGTCTGTTTCTTCCTGTTGATACATGGCCACTTGTTTCCTCCATCGCTGATGGGGATTCCATCAGCGGGAGAGTTCCTGATGCTGTTTGAGGTTCCCTGTGCACGTGCTTGATTCCTGGTAGAAGTGCTCATCTCCTCCCTAATTGGCAAGAACCCATATGTGGTAGACATAAAACCCTGTGTCATATCAGTTGCAGATATTTTCCTGGTTTGTCATCCTCCTTTCAAACATATTTATGGTATTAAAAAAAAATAACTATAGACACTGGAAATTGCAAAAATAGCCCATAGAGTTCTGTGTACCTTTCACCCAGCTTATACTTACATCTTACTTAACCATAGTATATTGTCAAACCAGGAAACTGACAGTACAATGCAATTAACTAGATTCTAAACCTTATTCACATTTTATCAGCTTTTGCATGCACTCATTTCTCTGTGTATGTGTTCTGTTCCGATTGTAACCACCACAATCCCAAAACACAGAATTGTTTATTCACCACAACAGAGCTCCTTTGTGCAATCCCTTTATATACACACCTGCCCCATTGAAGGTGTCCTGCCTGACAGAGAAGTCCATGATATTTGTGTTGTAAGTTGGTTCTTTTAGGACTGCTAGATTTCATGTCATGATTAGAAAGCAGGATCTTTGGAATGATGGCTTGTTCTTTAAGTCCCTTCAGTGTGATTGTTTTTTTGGGGTTTTTTTTGAGGCAAAAAGGAAAAACGAGGCTTGGGACTCAGTCTTTCTGAACACACACACACACCCCCCTACCCCTCTTCAGTAGGAGACTCACAATTGACATACATTATGTTGTTAACAACAGCTCTTGGCCACGAATTAAATTCTTCATAGTGACAGGCTGAAGGTCAGACACAGATGAGAATGGGAGACACGAATGGAACCATGCTGTGTAAAACACCAAAGAAACAGGACAGCACTCAAACTTATGGAGCCAATTTCCAATGAATCCAGAGAATCCAGTTGCAAGGAGGAAATTTCTTTCTTTTTTTAATTTCAGAGAGGAAGGGAGAGGGAGGGATAGAAACATCAATGATGAGAATCATCCATCAGCTGCCTCCTGCATGCCCCCTACTGGGGGATCGAGTTTGCAACCTGGGCATGTGCCCAGACGGGGAATCTAACCGTGATCTCCTGGTTCATGGGCCAACATTCAACCCCTGAGCCACAATGGCGGGGCAAGAGGAAATTTCTTAACACAAGCAGGTATCCCAATTTAGTACAGGCTACTACTGCCAAAAAGCATGAATTTTGAAATTAAGGTTATCTGTGGAGCAGTTAGCCTTCTGTAGGAGCCTCCTGACCTCCCTGAAACTAATCTTCATCCTCTGTACATGTGTTGGGGGAGGTGGGCGATGCTGTAGAGAGATCTGAGTTCTTCAAAGATGTAATATAGCCCAGCTTAGGGGTTAACTGTGACATTTTCTCTCTGCATTCTGTTATTTCAAGTCAGGAAGGACTAGGAAAAGCGGCTTAATTCTAGACACTCCAGACCTGGCCATTGGTGTTTTCTTGAAACTAAGCAATTTGTGACAAAAAAAAAAAGATTCCTTCTGTAGTTGAAAATCTGGGATTTCTTCATTGGCATCTAATGCTAGTAACAGCTAGAATTTAGAGTTCTTACCTTCATTCCCTCAGTGAATCCTCCTGGCAACTCCTTAAGGTAAGGATTATTTTCTTTCTGATTTTTTAATTTTGAAATAGAGTTCCCTGATGTCCTTTGCTCATCTTCCCCTAATGTTAAGGCACACACCAGGTATTGAAGCCAGGAAATTAACATCAATACAATCTTATTATATACATATACAGACCTTATTTGAATGTCAACATTTCTCCCTGTAGTGTCATTTTTCTGGTCCAGGACTGTTATGGACTGAATATTTGTGTCTCCCCAAATTCGAGTTGAAACCTAACTTCCAGTGTGATAGTATTAGATGGGTATTTGGGGGCTGATTAGGTCATGAGGGTAAAGCCCCATGAATGGGATCAGTGCCCTTATAAAAGGGGCCCAGAGAGTTCAGGCACCCCTTCCACCACGTGAGGACAGGCAGAAGAGAGCAGGCTGTGACAGGAAGTGAGCCCTCAATAGACTCGGAAATCTGCCAGAGCCTTGATCTTGTACTTCCCAGCCTCCAGAAGTGTGAGAAATAAATGTGTGATTTAAGGCCCCCAGTCTGATACTTTTGTTACAGCAGCGGGAACTCAGGCAGTATCCAGTCCAGGACCCCACCCTGCATTAAGTTGTCTTGGTCTCCTCATTCTGTAATGGTTCCTCAGCCTTTGTCTTTCATGACATTTTTGAAGAGTACTGCTGGTTATTTTGTAAAACATCCTGCAATTTAGGTTGGTTTGTCTGATGTTTGCTTATAGATTGAGGTCGAGTATTTTGGGCAGGAATCCCAGAGATGCCAGGAGAAGTCTGTCCTTCTCAGTGCATCCTGTGGTGGCTCCATGATGTAGCAGTCTCATTTTTGGTGATGTTAACTTCCATCATTGGGCTAAGGTGATGTCTCCGTTGTAAATTACCCTTTTTCTCTTTGTAACTCATAAGTATCTTGGAGGAAAATACTTTGAGACTATGCAGATTATCCTGTTTCTCACCATACCTTTTCCACCACCAATTTTTAGTATCCATCAATGGATCTTGGCCGCAACAATTATGAGGTGATTGCCCATTGGTCATCTTGTATTTCCTTCATACAGTCTACACTCATTAATTTATTTAATTAATTAATTTATTTTTTACACTCAATTTAAATTTCAGTGGCGATCTCTTATTTCCCTAATTTCTTATACGTTCACTAACCGGAAGAACTGAATGGTCAGTCTCATAGTTTAGTTCGGGACGACAGAATTAAGACCACCCACGCCACGTACACTCCCAGGACCTCCAAGCCCCGCCCCAAGATGGCGGCCAGAGAGGGGCGGGTTGCTCCTGGTCACGTGGTCACAACGACACTTACGTGGCCTCCAGGGGACGCCCAACGTGTCCCTCGCCGCGCCCCGTTCGCCGTCCTAGCCCCTTGGACCCGATCCCAAGATGGCGGCGCCCAGCGGAAGGAAGAGTGGTGGCGACGGTGCGAGCTTATGGGCCGCGCTTCTCCTAGCGGCCGTGGCACTGAGACCAGCAGAAGCTGTGTCCGAGCCCACGACGGTGGCGTTTGACGTGCGGCCCGGCGGCGTCGTGCACACCTTCTCCCAGAACGTGGGCCCTGGGGTAACTGCCGCCGCGGAGCCGGAGGCTTGAGCCGGGCGCCCGCCGGGACCGGTCCTGGGTTGCTGCGGGAGGAGGAGGCTCGGACTTCGGGGGCGGGGCCGCAGTATGGGTGCGGACTTGGGGGCTGGCGACCCTGAGGAAGCTGGGTCACTGTCCTCAGTCCCAGTCTCCTCTCACATGCCCAGCGTCCCCAAGCAGCCCTGTCCCCTAGATCCAGGCGAGTTCCAGCCATTGGGCAGGGTGGACACAGAAGTGGGGAGAGGGAAGTTGGAGCCTGACAGATACGTGCCTCCAGGTCCCGAAGAAGGTTGACCCCCTTGCAGCTATGACTAGGAAGTGGACAGACGTTGCTCTTTCCTTCCATTGCACAAGGTCCCCCATCTTTTTCACTGAAGTGTGAGGCCAGACCCTCCTTTCCCGAGTCAGCAGGCCTACGTCTAGTTCAGCCTTGTCCCCAAGTTGTTGGAGAAGGCGCTGCCTCTTCCATCCTCCCTTTTCATATCTGTGACAATATCGATTGTTGCTATTTGTTGAATACTAACTTACAGCTGGGTACTGTGCGGAGCGCTTTGTATGTTAGGTTCCATTTTGCAGATGAGGGAAGAGAGAGATCAGAGAGGTTTGCACCTGTCCAAGAGCCACAGCAGTGCAGAGATGGGTTCCTGATGTGTCGGCTTCCAAAGTGGGTTTCTAACTGTCCCAAAGCCCTAGCTACTAGTAGGGTGGGTATTAGGGTTGGTGACCTACTCCTTCCTGTTCTTTATTCCCCAGAAGCCACATGGGTGGTTTGTCCCGACCCAGGAGCCCACTAGTAGGAAGGCAGGCAGGGAAACTCTAGGTTGTTAGCCACTAGGAGGCCTTGTGGGGCTGACTTCCAGGGACATCCGCCAGAGGTATCGGACTCTGCCTCCTTCCCCTTTAGTGCAGATGTTCAAAGGCAGGATCTTCTTAGAAAGACATCCTGAGACCCTACACTTGAACCACTAAGGATTATATCCTACCGAGCCTTTTATCCATTCCATTTTCTAGGACAAATATACTTGTGTATTCACCTATGCTTCTCAAGGAGGGACCAATGAGGTGAGTTGTACAAAATTCCATGTAATTTAGTATGATAATATCTGTTGTCATACAGAGATGCTCTCCAGGGATAGTGGGATTGAGTCATGTGTGGGTTAACTTACATTCATTGAATGATTCTTCTTAACCAATAAAAGCAAGAGTGCTCAAGTTAAATAGTGGTGGTCGTTTCACTCATAATTCCACAGGGTGAACAAATGTCTGGACAGAAGGAGGGACGTGAGTTGTGAATCTGCCATTCCCAAGAGCCTCTATTACAGGTGTTGTATTTGTTTCCTGTGTTGAATGACATATCACCACAAACTTAGCAGCTTAAAACAATATCCATTTATTATCCCTCAGTTCTGGAGGTCAGAAGCCCTGGTGGCTCAGGTGGATGCTTCATAAGTCAAAATCAAGGTGTCAGCTGGTCCGGGCTTTCATCTTCCAGGCTCAATTTGTTGGCAGAATTCAGTTCCTTACAATGTAGGACTGAGGTCCCCATTTTCTCCATCTGGTGGCAGAAGAGGAAGTAAAATAGATTCCAAGCACCAGAAGGGACCATTGTACCATTGCCTGCTTTGAGGGAACCATGTGGCAAGGAGTGCATGTGGCCTTTAGACAGTGAAAGCAGCCCCTGCTGGAAGCAAGGAAACAAGAACTTCAGTCCTACAGCCACAAAGAACTGATTCTGTCACCCACTAGAGTTGGAAGAAACCCCCAAGCTCTAATGGGAACAGTCTAGCCTACACTTTGATTTTGCTTGTGAGACAGCAAAGGACCCAGCCCCACCATGCCCAGACTCCCCCCCTCCCCATCTACCTCATCTCCCCTTTGGTAACCATCAGCTCATTCTTTATATCTATGGGTCTGTTTCTGTTTTGCTTTATATATTCATTTGTTTTGTTTTTTTAGCTTGCACATATAAGTGAAACCATATGGTATTTGTCTTTCTCTTTCTGACTTATTTCACTTAGCATAATTACACTCTAGGTTTATCCATGTTGTTGCAAGTGGCAAGATTTCATTCCTTTTTAGTGCTGAATAATCCATTGTGTATACACACCACATCTTCTTTATTTACCTGTGGATAGACTTGTAGGTTGTTTCCATATCTTGGCTATTATTAGTGATGCTGCAGTGAACATAGGGATGCATGTATCTTTTTGAATTAATGTTTTTGTTTTCTTCTGATCCCAGAAGTGGAATTGCTAGATCTTTTGGTAGCTCTATTTTTAATTTTTTGAGGAATCTCCATACTGTTTTCCATAGCGGCCACAGCACTTTACAATCCTACAACAGCATACAAGGGTTTCCTTTTCTCTACCTCCTCACCAACACTTATTTGTTGATTTATTGGTGATGGCCATCTTGACAGGTGTGAGGTGATATCTCATAGTGCTTTTGATTTGCATTTCTGTGACAATTAGTGATTTGAGTATCTTTTTATATTTTTTTATCCTCACCCAAGGATATGTTTATTTATTTTAGAGAGAGTGGAAAGGGGAGAGAGACAGAGAAAGAGAAACATGCCAGTGAGAGAGAAACATCGATCAGTTGCCTCCTGCACATGTTTGGACAGGGATTGAACTCACAACTTGGGTATGTGCCCTGACCAGGAATAATCGAACCAGCAACCTTTTGATGCACGAGACAACTCTCAACCAAATGAGCCACACCAGCCAGGGATACTTTGAGTTTTTATTATTATTATTATTTTTTGGCTTACATGTAAAATTAGATTGTTTATTTGGGGTTTTTTCCCTGCTTTTTGAGGTAGTAGGACCTGCATAACTAAACTTATCTCTAAAAACTACTTTTGCTATATCCCAGATAGTTTGTAAAGATGTGTTTTCATTTTCTTTTGTCTCAAGGTAGTATTTGATTTCCTCTTTGATCCATTGGTTGTTCAGAAGCATGTTGTTTAATCTCCACGTATTTGTGTTTTTTCTAGTTTTCTTTCCATAGCTGATTTCTAGTTTCTTGCCATTGTTGTCAGAAAAGATGCTTGAGCTCCGCTGATGTGGCTCAGTGGTTGAGTGTCGACCCATGAACCAAGACGTCACTGGTTTGATTCCTGGTCAGGGCACATGCCCAGGTTGCAGGCCTGATCCCCAGCCGGGGCGTACAAGAGGCCACCCCTCTATGTTAATGTTTCTCTCTCTTTGATGTCTCTATCTCTCTATTCCTCTCCCTTCCTCTCTCTCCAAAAAGCAATAAAACATATTAAAAAAGAAAAGAAAAGATACTTCATATAATTTCAAAGTTCTTAAATTTATTAAGACTGGTTTTGTGGCCTAGTATGTCATGTCTCCTGGAAAATGTTCAATGTGCACTTGAGAAAAAAGTGTTATCTGCAGTTTTTGGATAAAATGCTCTATAAATGTCTATGAAGTCAAACTGGTCTAATGTGACATTTAAGGCCATATTTCTTTGTTAACTTCCTGTCTGAATGATCTATCCATTGAGGTAAGTGGAGTATTAAAGTCCCCAACTATTACTGTTTTATATCCTCCTCTTGGATTGATCCCTTTAAAATTATGTAATGTCCTTCTTTGTCTCTTGCTAGAACCCTTCCTTTAAAGTCTGTTTTGTCTGATATCAGCTTTCTTTTGTTCCTATTTGCATGGAATATCCCTTTCTCTCTCTTAACTTTCCGTCTGTTTCTTTCGATCTAAAGTGAGTCTCTTGTAAGCAGCATATAGATGAGTCTTTTATTCATTCACCATCCTATGTCCTTTTGGAGCATTTAGTTCATTTACATTTAAAGTAATTATTGATAACTCTGTGCTTATTGCCATTTTGTTAGTTGTTTTTGTTGTTCTTCTCTGTTCCTTTCTTCTCTTGATCTCTTTCCTTTTGATTTGTTAGTTTTCTTTAATGTTTTGATTGGGTTCCTTTCTCTTTATTTTTTGTGTATTGTTTGTATGTTTTTGGTTTTTGGTTATCACAAGGTTCATGTATATCCATCTATACCAATAACAGTTTATTTTAAGCTGATAGGTATTTAAGTTCAATTGCATTCTAAAAGCACTGCATTTTTAGTCCTCCCTCCACTTTGTTTTTGACATCATTTTTTATATCTTTTTATTTTGTGTATCCCAACTGTTTATTGTAGTTATAGTTAATTGTGCAACATTCATCTTTTAACCTTCATATTAACATTTTAAGTGGTTGATTCACTGTGGTTATTATGTATTTGCCTTTACCAGTGAGATTTTTTCCTTTCCTATATTTTATTATTTCTGGTTGTGGCCTTTTCTGCATAAAAAAGACCCTTTAACATTTCTTGTAAGGCCAGTTTAGTGGTGGTGAGCTCCTTTAGTTTTTTGTTTTGTTTGGTTGTTTTTAAATTTAATTTATTGATTTTAGAGGGAGACGTAGGGAGAAAGAGAAAGAAACATCAATTTGTTCTACTTATTTATGTATTTATTGGTTGACTCTTGTATGTGCCCTGACTGGGGAATCAAACCCTCAACCTTGGTGTATCAGGATGATACTTTTAACTGACTGAGCTACCTGGCCAGAGCCTGGTTTTTGCTTGTCTGGGAAACTCTTTACCTCTCTTTCAATTCTGAATAATAACCTTGCTGGATATAGTATTCTAAGTTGTAACTTTGCACTCTCCCCAGGGGTGGGAGGGGACCTCGGCATGCACACACAGCCCAGTGAGTACACAAAGTAACACCCTGCTGTACCTGCTGGATCAGTCTCAGGGTGGAGGGGCCCTTTGTATGCACCCTACAGCACCCTCCTATTCCTGCTGGATCTAGCTGGAACTGGCTGAGGACCTTCTCTATGTGGTTTCTCCTTCTTGGTTGTTGAGCAGAAGCTGTGTAATGGGCTCACAGTTGTCTCTCAGGAGGAAGTGTTCTAAATATTTCATGTGTTCTTGAGAGGGAGGCAAGCTCTGTGTCTACCTACACCACCATCTTGGGCCCTCCTTTGAACTGTACACTTTAAAAGGGTGAATTGTACAGTATGTGTAAGCTAATAATTCGTTCCTATGTCCGTGCTCCAGGCAAAAGACATCTAAGTGACCATTTACTCCCATTATAACTAACATAAAAGTGGCCTTGTTTCTATTAAAGAAAAACTCTCATGTTAAACGTGAGTACCAGTAATCAGAGTCCATTATTACTCCTGGGAAGGGACTGTAAATTCATTTTACTAACAAACTGTCAAAATGCCTTAGGCAGCCTAGAAGGGAAAGAGTGGATTATCCATTTCCACTTGGCCTGGTTTTCAGAGGCCATGAAAATTACAATACATGGGTAGTGGTGTGTTTTGGAACCAGCTTAAAATTTTAATTTTTAAATAGCTGATACATTCACATCGTACAAAAAGAAAAACATATAAAAGGTTTATAGTGCCTTCTACTAGTCCAGTTTCGGCCCATATCCTGTGGGTAACCACAATTACTAAAATCTTATGTCTTTCACCCTAGTCTGTTTGGTTCAGTGGTTAGAGCGTCAGCCTGCAGACCGCAGGAACACAGGTTCAATTCCAGCCAAGGGCACATACCTCCGTTGCAGGCTCAATCCCCCTCCCCATTCTGGTGCGTGTGGGAGGCAACCAATTGATGTGTCACATCGATGTTTCTCCTCCCCCACCCCCCAGTCTCTCTGAAAAGCAATGGAAAAAATATCCTCAGGAGGGAATAAAAAATAATAATTAAAAATAAATAAAATCTTGTGTCCTTTCCGAGGGCTTCTTTATCCTTCTGCAAGCAGGCATGAATGTACTGTCTTCCTTTCTTTTCTTTTTTTTAAAAATTTTTCTTAATAGACATTTTTTAGAGCAGTTTTAGATTCACAGCAAAATTTAGCGGAAGACCCTTGTCGGTGTGGCTCAGTTGGTTGAGCATTGTCCCGTGTAGCAAAAGGTCGCCAGTTGGATTCTGGTCAGGGCACATGCTTGGGTTGTGGGCTCAATCCCCAGTAGGGGGCATGAAGGAGGCAGATCATTGATATTTCTCTGTCTCTCTCCCTCTCCCTTCCTCTCTCTGAAATCAATGGGGGGGAATTGAACAGAGGCATAGAGATTTTGATATATCTTCTTACCCCTCCGCAAATGCACAGTCTCCCCTATTATCAGCATCCCCCACCAGAATGGGACATTTGTTACAGTCAGCGAACCTATATTGACATATCATTGCCACCCCAAGTTCATAGTTTATGTTAGGGTTCACTCTTGGTGAGCATTTTGTGGGTTTGGTTGAATGTATAGAATGTATAATGATGTGTATCCACAATTGTAGTGTCACATAGAGTAGTTTCACTGCCCCTGAGCAGAGTGTGGGGGCACCTGGGGACCAGGCTCCAGCCAGGAGGCCCAGGAAAATTCCATTCATTTTGCAAACTGGAAGTCGAAGTTCTCAGAGCTAGCCTGTGCACGGCCAAAGTGTGTGTCCTGGACTGACCCATGTCTTTCTTCTCTCTCCAGAAGTGGCAGATGAGTCTGGGGACTAGTGAAGACCACCAGCACTTCACCTGCACCATCTGGAGGTGAGCTATGGGTCCCAGTGGTGGGGTCCCTGGGAGGAGTTGCCTTGGCTCAGGCTGCTGGGACTGAGGGCACTGCTGCTCTGGGCAGAAGGGGAAGACAGACCAATAGGGTCCTGCACCCTTGGAGGGGCACACAGAGGGAGTGCCACACTGTGCTAGGATTTGGCAAGGGTTGGAGGGCTCCCCAGGGAAGCACACTGACACTGAGGCTAAGAGGAGGTTCTGGGGACTGGGGACGTACAGTTCAGGCAGTGGCCACAGCACCAGGAAGAAGGTTTGGGCTCCCCAGATACTTGCCTGCCACTGCCACCCTCAGTCACACTTCATGGTTCATGGGCTCAGTCTCCCTGCCAGGAACTGATGCCCTTCTTGTTACCCCACTACTGGCACCCAGCTTGATGAGGGAGGGGTGAGTGTGGGACGGGATGAAGGAGAGGGAGTACATGGCCCTGGGTGGGGAGGAGGGTGACAGGACTTCATGGAATCGTGTCCCTTCTCCCCTGGGCTCCTCTGCCCGGAATGTGTCGCCTCAAGCAGAACCGATTTCTCGAGCATTTATTGTGTGCCCAACAGAAAAAGTCTAAGCTGTGACTTCACCCTCAGGGGACCAGGGTCCACACAGGAGACAGATCAACAAATTGGACACAATGGGGAAGCAGGGACTTGACATTAATTAAAGGACACTGCATGTGTTTTTTCTTTTTTATTGAATTTATTGGGGTGACATTGGTTAATAAAATTACATAGGTTTCATGTGTACAATAAGGACACAGTGCATTTTTTGTTTGTTTGTTTTTTGTTAATCCTCACCTAAGGATGTTTTTTCCATTGCCTTTTCAGAGAGTGGGGGGGTGGAGAGAAACATTGATATGAGGGGGCCACATCCACCACTGGTTACCTCCTACATGTGCCCCCGATTGGGGGTGAGGAGCGAACCTGCAACCCAGGTACATCCCCTTGACCGGGAATCAGACCCGAGACCCTTTGGTGTGCGGGCCAATGCTCCAGCCACTGAGCACACCGGCCAGGGCACACGGCGTGTTTTAATCATACCTGCAGGTGTCATCCCACAGTCTCCTACTCAGTGCTTTACAAACAGCAGGTGTTTACTAAGTGCTGTTGGGGAGAGTTGTGTCTTTCTGCTGGACTGCCCCAGGGGCCAGGATCCCAGCCTCCTCATCAGGCCAGACTGGGTCTGTGCCACCTCCCCTGGCCTCAGAGAGAAGCATCACAAAGGAAAGAGCCTGTGGTGCCCTTGTTACAGGGAAGGCTCATTACAGGGTGCATTTTACTGTGTGTAGATCGCTGCCTCTCAGGGCATGCGAGCACCAGCTCTTTGTGGGGTACAGACCCAGGCCATGTGGACACACCCAAGGAACTGACTCAGCCCCACACACCTGCTGACTATGGGGCCATCCGCTCAGCTGATGTGCGGCCTAAATGGGCCACCTCAAGGTTTTAGACATTGACTGACCCTCCATTCACTCAGAGGCTTAGAGAATCTGCAAGACTCCCTGGATGCTACTTTCCTGGCCTCCCTGCTGCCCTCTCTACTCCCACCCCTATTACTTTTTGCTTTCCACACATGGCCAGTTGGAGCTCTTCACACTGCAGACATCATCGTCCCCTTGCTGTCACCTGTCCTCTCTTGGCTCTTCTCTCTGCTTTGGCCATACTGACCTCATGTTTATTAAATGCCCCTACTTGCACCCTCTGAGGAACCATTTCCTCTGCCTGGGCCAGCCCTCCCCCTCCCCTTACTAGTTCACTCCTGTACTTCTCACCCTCAGGATGTTCCTGCAGCCCCCACTGCAATACCTGGATGTCGTTGGCACTTGATAAAAAGCATTCTGTGAATGAGCATGAGGGTCCTCTCCCTAGAACAGCTTGTTCCCAGAATGGGAAAGAGGCTTGTCAGTAAACAAGCCAGAAGAACATTCTGGCAAAGGAAAGAAGGGAATGATGTTGCAGGGCCCCATGCATACTTCCCAGAGTCAGCAACACGTGGTCCTGGGATGACCCCTCACTTTTCTCTGCAGGCCCCAGGGCAAGTCCTACCTGTATTTCACACAGTTCAAGGCAGAGGTGCGGGGTGCCGAGATCGAGTACGGCATGGCCTACGTGAGTATCAGCCGTGCACATTGGGGTGTTCCACTGTGGACAGCACATTTCAGACCCCTGAGGGGATAGGCAAGATGAGGAGATGGACATAACTTGGAAGAACATGGGACACTGCAGAACCCTATGTCTGGAGGCACAGGGGGAGAGGCAGTGTTGGTGTCTGGAGCAGGACCCTGCTGACCTCTAGAGACCTGGCAGGTAGGTGGAACAGGAAGTGGACACCCTGGCATCACTCTCCTACTGCCTGCCAGTCTCCTGCTGGTGCCCCCCAATGGAAAAGCCAACAGGAAGCTAGAGGGCAGCATGGCCTGGATGCTCAGCTCTGGGAAAGGGACAGCAAGGGTGGCAGTGGCCCTGGAGGGAATGCAGTGTGGCTCACTGGTATGTGGGGGGCAGGGCACAGCCCTTTCCAGAGGCTGGCCATACTGCAGAGCCCACCCTGTTTCTGCATTTGAGTCAGAAAGTTTGAAAACCACTTGTATCAGTCCAAGATCAACCAAGAAGCAGAAACAGTAGACAGGCAGGCATATAGAGATTTATTGCCACGAATTGGCTTCTGCCACAGTGGACTAACCAAGCAGCTCTGGAGTCCACAGGCCAGGCAGGCTGGCACGCAGGGCTGGCACTCTTGGGCACAGACTGCCACCCTGGGGTGGGATTTCTTCTTCAGGGAAGCCACAGCTCTGCTCTGAAGGCCCTTCCCAATGCTTGAGTCAGGCTCGCCCAGGTTATCAAGGAGAAGAATCAGCTCGGGATGGCCTTTTATTACATGCACAGAATACCTTCACAGCAGCACCTAGTGACAGGTTCATTCATAGCTGCAGATGTGGCTGCTCCAAGGTAACACATCAGATTGTCACACCTTTGAACTAATAACTCTCCAGGGTCCCTTCCCTTAAAACTCTTACTTTAGCTAATTTGAGAGAGCACAATTCTAATTTTTAAAAATTGTGTTCAGGAGACTGTTGTGCTTGTCCCATTTCCATAAATTAAGAAAAAAGTTGAATTAAATACCTCCTTCCTAGGATTTGCAGTGAAGTCGTGAAGTTTTAAGCCAGTTGACAATCTCTTAAGTGGATTAACCAGCCACTTCTGGATTCTCTTGTGTGCTCAGAAAAGTGTCACCCGGCTCTTTAGTAAAAGTTCGAGGCTTTAGTCTCTGCCTTTTGCAAACCAAATCGTGTTCTTTTCTGATTAGGAAAGTTTCCACTTTTTCCCTTTCAGTCTAAAGCTGCATTTGAAAGAGAGAGTGACGTTCCCCTGAAAAACGAGGAATTTGAAGTGACCAAAACAGCAGGTATGTAACAATAGATTGTGGACATGGAACTCAGCCTCTCCGGGGAGGTGAGTGAGAGTGACAACAGAGGGCCATCAGGGGGCCAGTTGGTGAAGGACTGTTGCAGGGCACACCCGGACTATAGGCCAGACTCCGCAAACTATTCCTATAAAGGGCCCCATAGTAAATGTTTTCAGTTTTGTAGGGCAAATGGCCTCTGTTGCAACTACTCAGCCTGCCCTCGTTGGGCAAAGGGCACACCATGTGTCAGTGAATGGATGTGGCTGCATTTGAGCAAAACTTTAATACTTCATGAACTTGGAAATGTGAATGTCATATCACTTTCCCATATCACAAAATATCTTTTTTTTGTTTGTTAATCCTCATTCAAGGATATTTTTTCCATTGATTTTTAGAGAGAGTGGATGGGGGGGCAGGGCAGAAACATTGATGTGAGAAAGAAACATCGATTGATTGCCTCCCACATGTGCCTGGACCGGGGCCGGGGATCGAACCTGCAACCCAGCAGGTACATGACCTTAATCAGGAATCGAACCCGCAACCTTTTGGTGCACAGGCCAACACTCTAACCACTGAACCACACTGGTCAGGGCACAAAATTCTATTTAGATTTTTATTAAAATGCCCTTAGTTCAAGGGCCACACTGTGCCAATTCCTGATTGATAGTTCATGCTCTATGGGAGGGCTGTGACCTCCACACAGCCTGGCTGTCCTGGGCTCTGTGACAAGGAACAGCTTCATGATTGGGACCTCCTGAATTCCTGAGAGCCCCTACCCTAGTCCTCTTAGCCCCATTCAGCCACAAAGGGCAGATGCTGAACAGAAGGAGAGGTAGGGAGCTCTGGAGTTGGGGCTTGGTGTTCCAGAGCAAGGGAGGACAAATGAGTGGTTAGGACAATGGACATGGGAGTTAGCCAAGTGAGCGGAAGCCCTGAGGGTCCTGGGTTTCAGGGGAAAGATGAGGCAAAGGAATCCATGTGGCTGTGGATGTCACCAGGCATGAAACCCTGGGAAGGGATGGCATGGGCAGGGGCTTTAAGGAGGAGGAGCCTGGGTCTGGATGGAGCTCCAACTGTAGGACCTTGAGGGCACAGGGACCATTCAGACTAGAGGCCAAGGACAGTGAATGTTGGATTTCAGGCAGACCCTGAGCCCCAGGGCACACAGTAGAAGGTACACAAGGAGTCAGGGTCTGGCTAGGTGTGGTGAATGGTGTTTGCAGATTCCCTGACCCTGCTGTAAAAGCAGCTTATGGTGGTCAAGTTTGCCAGTGTGAGCAGGAAGTGACACAGCTTGGCCCCACCCCCATTTGTGCTCACTATGGCAAAAATGACCATAGTTGGTCCCACCTTGAATTTTCCTGTGGACTCCCACTGCCCTCAGGACAGCCCCACCAACCTCTCCACCTTTCTTCTGTCTCTCACCCATAAGACTTTTGGGGCTTGGGTCCTTTCCATGTGCAGTGCACATTGGGGACCTCTCTTCTCTGTCAGATCCTACCAGGCCCTACCCTGGCCCAGGAGCATCTGTGGAATCTCAAGGGCCCTACCATGCATTTCTTATTTTGCAGTGTCCCACAGGCCCGGGGTGTTCAAGGCTGAGCTGTCCAAGCTGGTGATTGTGGCCAAGGCGTCACGCAGTGAGCTGTGACCAGCAGCTCCATTGAGGGCGGCTTTCTCTCATCTCTACTAAAGGGGCTGTGCCCTGTGAGATCTGGCACATTATTGGTTTTCTAGGGGGCACTGCTGGTTTTCTTCCCTGGCTGATGTTGCCCTCCTTGGAGGGGTTCACAGGGTGGCTGAGGCCCTGGAACAAAGTCCAGCGGGCCAGGAGGTTGAGGGTGTGCTGGGCCCTTCCCCCAGCTCTCCACTTCCCCAGTCCCACTTCCCCCTTGCTCTTTTGAACACAGAGTATGAGTCTGAGCCCTGCTACTGCTCATCTTACTAGGAGAGGCATCAGCACAAGGTGAGGGGGGCTCGCAGCTTTTCTGAAGCCAGCTCGTCTCCCCTTGGGATCAGGTCTGACTCCAGATGCTCTGGGGAAGAGTTGCCCTGCTGTCCTCTGACCTCAAGCTGTTTTCTTACAATTTCCCCAGGAGACCACTTTCCAAACTAACTGGGAAGGAATGAAATGACCTTTTGTATTTAAATAAATGTTAAAAAGGAGCCACATAGACTGGGTGTCTGGTGCTGGTACCCGCCTGGCAGGGTATGAGGGGTTAGCGGCCCAGAGACAACCACAGGGGGCTGGCTGCCCTCACTTACCTTCTCTGTTGGAAACAGGCAGGCTGTGTCCCCGAGGACATGTGGAATCTTTAGGCATAACTTCTCTGCAGGTACAAAAGCAGCGGGTCCTGAGGCAGGCAGCCATGAGCCTGCTCCTAGGCCGGGGCACTGCAACTCCCTGAACACATGGGGCAGACCCTGCCACACCCAGCAGGTCACACAGGTGGCCCTGGTGAAGGGTGAGTGCTCCAGGGCAGATCTGCTCTTTTGACCCAGGTTGTGGACTTCCTTAGTTTTTTAAATCCAGGTTATAGTATGGTGATTAAAAACAAACACCCCAAAAAACAAAAATATCCACAGGCAAACAAAAATAAATGGAACCCAAATCAGAGGTGCCTTGGTCTCCCAGCAGTAGGGGTCTGGGAGTCTGACCTCCAACCTAACTCTGACCATGTCTTCACAAGCAAACAAGGGGAAAAGAAAGCGTGTGGCTGTGAAGCAGCGTCTTTCCTAATTGGAATCACCATGTTGGATCAACGAGGACTCTCTTTACCTTTCACTCACCTTGTGTCGACCTGAGGGCCTGGACACTGCTATGCCCCACTTGCTAGAGCAGCAGTGGGCCAAGGGCATTTGGGTTCCTGCCCAGAGTCTCACACTTGTAGGAAGCAGAGCAAGGCTCTCCCCTGTCCACAACCCCAGTGGATCCCACAGTCAGGCCAGTTTCGGACTGAGGTGCATGAGTGTGAAGAGTAACTGTTCTCAGAACAAATAACCATTGAAGAGGGACCTTGGGCCCCTAAGATGTTCAGGGGAAAGAATCAGCCAGCCTTAACTTATAAGTGCATTTTTCTGCCACTTCATGAGACAAGTTCTGAAGGCTCTATATGTCACAGGAAGGATCACTCTACTAAATGGCTCAGCTTCAAGGTCTGGTGAGCACAGCCAGCTGCAGGTGGCAACAAGGCCCAAGAGATGATCGCCCAGGGCCTCCTGTCAAACTGGGCAGGAGCCCTGAGGTGTCAGCGGAGGGAAGGGGATTTTTTCCACAGTCCGCCCAGAGTCATCACTACCAAATCCCTGGGTGTCACCAAGGATGCTATGTGCTAGGATACAGGAGGACATCTCTGGACACAAAGAAGCTTCTTCCCCTTTCCCCCACGTGACATGTGCGTTTATCTTTATGTAGCTTTCAGATACTTTCAAGAACAAAGCCATGCTGGCACCAGGACCTTCTGTCATAAGGAGCTGAACTAAACCCTAGTTTAAGTGTGCAGAGCCAAGCTCTGCCACTACACTAGACTATGTCACAGTGCCCGGTGCAGCAGAAATCAAGCCTCTCAGCAAGGACCACAGGTGTGTGATGTTCACCTCCAACCTCGATTTAAAAGGCAAAAACTGGCCCTGGCTGGTGTTGCTCAGTGGTTAGAGCGTTGGCTGCAGGTTTGATCCCTGGCCCTGGGTGGGGCACATGTGGGAGGCAACCAGCTGATGTCTCTCGCATCAATATTTCTCTCCCCTTGCTCCCTCCTTTCCATTCTCTAAAGTCAATGGAAAAAAAATATCTGGGTATTAACCTCCCCCCCAGAAAAGGCAAAAACTGGCCCTAGCCAGTGTGGCTCAGTTGGTAGGAGCTTCGTCCTGTACACCAAAAGGTGGTGGGTTCGATTCCTGGCCAGTACACATACCTGGGTTGTGGGTTTGATCCCCGGCCCCTATTGGGGCACGTGCTGGAGGCAACCAATCAATGTTTATCACATCAATGTTTCTCTTTCTCCCTTCCCCTCTCCAAAAATCAATGAAAATGTCCTTGGGTGAGGATTTAAAAAAAATGCAAAAACTGGTCAAAATTCTGATCAACATGGTGGAATAGGAAAACTGCTTACCTTCTCCCATGACCACATCAAAATTACAACCAAATTACTGAACCACCATTCTTGAGAACCACCTGAAGACTAGCTGAACGAAACTTCTATAACTAAAGATATTGAGACTGGTAGGAAGGCCAGAGACGAGGAATGGGCAGGTCCCACATTTGTGTGTGGTGATTAAGAATTGGGAGCGATGCCCAGCCAGTATGGCACAGTGGTTGAGCGTCGACCCATGAACCAGGAGGTCATGGTTTGATTCCCAGTCAGGGCACATGCCTGGGTTTCAGGCTGGATCTCCAGGAGAGGGGCTGTGCAGGAGGTAGCCGATCAGTGATTCTCATCATTGATGTCCCTCTCTCCCTCTTCCTTCATCTCTCTAAAATCAAAAAAATAAAAATTTTAAAAAAAGAATTGGGAGGGATATCTCAACTGCAGGGGTGCCCCGTGAGGAGTGAGGGTTCCCAGCCTTACATGGGGGCAGGGGGCATCATATTTTCACATCTGGCTGTGAAAACCAGCAGGGATTGCCTAGGGGAGAGGCAAAGGGCTGCCAGAAACGGAGGTGCTGCTCTTAAAGGACTTGAGAACAGACTCAGTCGCTCACAAACTTACCCACTAAGCTCCAGTGCAGGGGTAGCAGTTCAGAAGGCACCAGGGACGTGTGGGAGAGAACTAAATTGATTAACTTCAGGCAAGGGCTGCAGGGAGTGGAGAAACTCTGGAGACAGAAGTGCTGGCAGACACCATTTGCTTCTTTGTTGAGCCCTCCCCCCAATTCATTGGCAGGCCCAGGCAGACACTGAATCTGTGTTCTCCATAAACCTGGCTAACACTGCCCCCCACCCCGGTAATATTCTGAGACTCCACCCTGCCCAACTCACTCACCCAGCCTGAGCTGCTTCCAGTGGCCTTTCCACACAAGCAGCCTGCCTCAGCTAACTGCAGACTTCCCCCAAAATCCACAAACCTCACACGATCTCACTGACAAAGGCAAACAGTAAAAGCAATGGGTCAACCAATTATAAAGCTAGTACAAAGGTTAAAAGACAAAAGTAGGATTAGGTGGTGTAATTACAACAATAATTTAAGGGGATACACATAAAAGTAAGAAATAATGACAAAAATATAAATGTGGAGGGTTGAGTAAAAATGGTAGTGATTTTAGAATTTGTTCAAACTTAAGCGACCATCAACTTAAAATAGACTGCTGTAAACACATCTTGCTTTGTATAAAGCACACGGTAACTACAGATCAAAAATCTACGAGAGCCGGTTTGGTGTGGCTCAGCATTGAACATTGACCTGTGATCCAGGAGATCACGGCGAGATTCTGGGTCAGGGCACATGCCCGGGTTTCGGGCTCCATCCCCAGCAGGGGAAGTGCAGGAGGCAGCTGATCAATGACTGTCTCATCATTGATGTTTCTATCTCTCCCTCTCCCTTTCTCTCTCTGAAATCAATAAAGACATTAAAAAAAAAAATCTACAAGAGATACACACGAAATGAAGAGAAAGGAATCCAAACAACATTATAGAGAGCCATTAACACAAGAGAGCAAGAGAACAAAAAGGAACAGAGACCTACAAAAACAATCAGAAAATAATACAATGGCAATAACTGTGTACCTATCAATAGTTACTGTAAATGTAAATGTACTAAATGTTCCAATCAAAAGACATAGGGTAGTTGAATGGTTAAGAAAACAAGACCCTTACATATGCTGCCTACAAGAGACCTGCTTTAGATCAGAGCCAAACAGATTAGTAAAGGAATAGGAAAAGATATTTCAAGCAAATGGAAATGAAAAAAAGCTGGAGTATTAGCAGTACTTAGACAAAATAGACTTTAAAACAAGGACTTTAATGAGACAAGACCATTTCGTCATGATAAAGGGACCAATCCAACAAGAGGACATAACTTGTAAACATCTACACACCCAACACAGGAGCGCCTAAATATATAAAGTAAATATTAACAGACATGAGAGATCAACAGTAATACAATAATTGTAGGGACTTTAACAGCCCATTGTCATCAATGGATAGATCTTCCAGATAGAAAAATCAATGAGGAAACTGGCCTTAAGTCTCACATTAGATCAGATGGACTTAATTGATATTCATAGGACATTTCACCTCAAAACAGCAGAATATACATTCTTTTTAAGTGCACATGGAACATGTTTTAGGACAGGCAACGTTAGGCCACAAAACAGGCTGCAATAAATATAAGATAGAAATCATCAATCACAATGGTATAAACCTAGAACTCGTACAACAACAAAAAGACTCAATCCAATTAAAAAATGGGCAGAGGACCTGAATAGACATTTCTCCAAAGAGGACATATGGATGGCCAACAGATATATGAAAAGATCCTCACCATCATTAATCATCAGGGAAATGTAAATCAAAACTACAATGAGATCTCATCTCACACCTGTCAGAATGGCCATCAATAAATCAACAAGAAGTGTTGGCAAGGATGTGGAGAAAGGAAACCCTCATGCACTGTTGATGGGACTGAAAATTGGTGCAGCCACTAGGGAAAATAGTATGGAGGCTCCTCAAGATTAAAAATAGAGCAGTCATACAATCTAGCAATTGCACTTCTGGGTATTTATCCAAAGAAAAAAACACTAAAAAGATATATGCACCCCTATGTTCACTGCAGCATTATTTACAGTAGCCAAGACATGGAAGCAGCCTAGGTGTCCTTTGACAGACAAGTGGATGAAGACGTGATAGATATACAGTGGAATATGACTCAGCCATAAAAAAGAATGAAGTTTTACCATTTACAACATGGATGGACCTAGAGGGAATTGTGCTAAGTGAAATAAGTCAGAGAAAGAAAATACTATATGATTTCACTTAAATGTAGAAAGAAAAAAATGGCCCTGGCCAGTGTGGTTCAGTTGGTTGAACATAGTCCCGTGCACCAAAAGGTTGCCAATTTGATCCCCAGTCAGGGCACATACCCAGGTTGCAGGAGGCAACCGATCGGTTTTCTCTCTCCTTCTCTTTTCCTCTCTCTCAAATAAAAAAAAATTTTTAAAAACCTCATAGATACAGAAAACTGGTGGCTGCCAGATGGGAGGGGCTAGGAGGCCAGGTGAAAAACGTGAAGGGATTAAGAGATCCATATTGGCAGTTACAGTGGTCACAGGGATGTAAAATACAGCATAGAGCATATAGTCATTTATATATATATATAATGTTTTAAATATATCTGTATTGATTTCAGAGAGAGGAAAGGAGAGGGAGAGAGAGAGAGAGAGCTAGAAACATCAATGATGAGAGTCATAATGATCGGCTGCCTCCTGCACGCTCCTCACTGGGGATCGAGCCCGCAACCCGGGCATGTGCCCTGACCAAGAATCGAACCCCGATCTCCTGGATCCTAGATTGACGCTCAACCACTGAGCCACGCCCAGCCGGACTATAATCATAATATTGTAATAACTGTGTATGGTGCCAGGTGAGTACTAGACTTGTCAGAGTAATCACTCTATAAGTTAAATGACTAACCACTATGAAGTACACCTGAAACTAATATGTCAACTATAATTGAAAAAAAAATTTAAGATTTTTTTCCTTCCAGTTCTCACCCGAGGACATGGCTATTGATTTGGGAGAGAGGGAGGGGAAGGGGGGGGAGGGAGGGACAGCGATGTGAGAAACATCAATTGGTTGCCTCCCATACACTCCCCAACCAGGGATCAAACCCGCAACCCAGGTATGTGCCCTGATCTGGAATCGAACCCACAACCGTTAGCTGCACAGGATGACGCCCCAACCAACTGAGCTACATCAGCCAGGGCTGGAAAAAAATTTTTTAAATTCGGTTTTTTTAAAAGACAAAAACCTCAAGAGAGAAAACTCATAGACAGCACCAAGCAATTCAAGCCAGTTTCACATAATGTCAGTGGAAAACATGTGCTTTTATTTAAATTGTTCTGTAGTGCTCTTTGGTTTTTCAAAATTAAATCCCCAATTTATGAAGAGTCAAGAGGCAGAACAGCCCATCAAGGAACCACGTACAAGCATTATGCAAATTGATAAATTCAGTCAGCAGAGTGGAGGGCAAAGGATTTCATCTGGGGCTTCTCAGGATACTCAAAATGCAGGTTTGCTCTTGAATATGAAGATCGATCTCTTGACTGGAGAGATAAGCGAGAAAGTTGGCCTTGGAACCATGGAGTAGGAGGTAGGAACAGCTGGCTCTCAGGTGAAAGGCTTTGGCTTCTTCAGGGGAGCAGAAACCAAATTATAGAAAGACTGATCTGAATTTGGGATCATAATCTTACCAGCCAGCACAGCTGGCCAGGGAGAGGCAAAAGGGAGTGGTGGGAACTGTGGCAAAGCAGAGGGGCAACCTCTATGTAGCTTTACCAGCAGGAAATGCAGGCTTAGCTGGGTTTTTGAGAGAAACTCCAAATCTAAATTGGCACATGCAGTTCCCCAGTTTTAAATGTTGTCAACTGATTCCAGATGGCTCTAACACAGGATGGGAGCAAGCAAACCCATCTTTGTGCTGAATAAGGCCTGCAGGCTTCCTGTTTGCAACCTTTGCTACAGACAGACTAGACTGTTCTGTAAAACAATCATGGGACATCGTTCCCCCTCTCCCTTGAGCACCCAGAATAACTTTCCCAACCCTGACATGGCAAGACCTGTAGCCCTGTTTTGTAATCCATGCCCTCTTCTGACAAAATTTGCAGATACACTCCCACACCCCACATATCCATCCATGCCCTGAGCTGAGAATCACTGTATCTTTTGGGTGTCCCCAAAGCCAAGATTTGTTGATCTTTGCTTTCTGATATCTGAAAAACGTGTGTTTGTTTTCAAACATAAAATGATCATTGAAAAATGTGCATGCATCTCAGATGGCTTTACCCTGGTGCCCTGTATAGGGGATGTCCTCTGTCCCCTCCCACGTGGGAGCCAGAGCTAGGATTCCAACCAAATTAAGGTGTCCTCGCCTATACACCAGCACCCACTGCAACCCTCTTCACGGCTCCCTGTGCTCATTCATTCCCTGGGGCGGGCGGCTGAAATAAGAGACTTGTTTCCTCTAGGTTATGGAGGCCAGAAGTCTGAGATCAAGGTTTCGGCCAGGCTGGTTCCTTCTCAAGGCTGTTCCGGGCCTCTCTCCCAGCTGCTGCGGTTTGCTGGCAGTCCTTGATGTTCCTTGGTTTGTAGCACATCCAGTTTCTTCCTCCATCTCACATGGCATTCTTTTCTGTGTTCAAATTTCTCCCATTTAGACGTACCCTGGTCATATTGGGTTAGGGGCCCACCGTGCTCCACTGTGATCTCATCTGAACTAATTATGTCAGCAATGAGATACTTCCAATTTGGGTCACATTCGGAAGTCCTGGGGGGTTAGGATTCAACAAAGGAATTGGGGGAGACACTGCTCAACCCAAAACTTTCTTCCAGTTCAGTATGACTCCTTTCTGAAGGAATTTAAAAGCCCAGGTTACAACATTAAGTGGGCAGCACCAGCTTTCAGATGACATCCAGTGATTTGAGGGGTGCCATCCAGTTATCGCAGTTCAGGACAGGTGGATCTAAGCAGGGAGCCATCTCGAGGTGTGTGGGGAGGCCCCTGGCCTCGCAGGCTGTGCCAGTTTCCACACTGAATTCCTCTCCCCAAGGGATGAGGTGGGAGGGGTGACATGGGTCCATAAAACTGCTGCTCTAAACTGTTCAGCAACCTCTGAAAGGGGACGAGTCATCTGTCTGGGGAGTTTGGCTAGAATCAGACTGGGGATGAAAGAGGTCATAAAAAAATAATAAGCCCACAAATCCCCAACCCCAGCAGGAAGCCCGGGGACGGGTCATATGCTGTCCTCATCCAGCATGCGGGTGAGCCCCTCGCAGATGCGGCGCAGGTGCGAGCAGTAGGGCTCGGCGGGGCCGTAGAGCGCGGCCAGGAAGTCACAGTTGGCAAAGTGGCCGAAGACATGGTTGATGCGGCCATGGGACTTGGCGGTGAGGTGCGGGCCCACGGCCTGGTGCAGCAGGTCCCGGCACTCGAGGAGGGCGGTGGCCAGCACACGCCTGTCGAAGGTGAAGGCCACCTGGTGGAAGCTGACGGCCGTCATGGCCAGGCGGCGCGCCCGCTGGCGGAAGCGCTGCAGGAGCCCCAGCTCCTCGCCGCCCAGCTGCCCGCTGCGGAGCAGGACGCCCAGCTTCACTGCCACCTTGATCAGGTTCTTGAGCACCTTCTGGGCCTCCTTGCGGCTGCGGGTGAACTCCTTGGTGGCGCGGTACAGTTCATCTAGCACCTCGCTGCTCGTGTCATCAATGAACACAGCCACTGTCGCCTTGGACGCCACCTTGCTCAGGAGCTTCTTCTGGGCCTGCAGGGCCAGGCTCTTGGTGCTGAAGGTGTCCATCTGCCCTGCCTCGGGAAAGACAGACCCAGCATCAGTTCCCACCGTGCCTGGGCCACAAGGGGCTTGCCTGGGAAGGCCACTTTTGTTTGCTCCCACTGTCTTCCCTGGTGAACTCCTGTACTTCCCCCCAAGTTTCCTCGTGGCCTTCTGTACATCCCCCAATGCCCTGGCCCCTCAGCACCTGCCTCTTCCCCTCACAGATTCATTCCTCAGCTCAGCCTAGATACCACCTCCTCCAGAAAGCCATCCCTGAACAGTCAAACTGATGGTGAGGTACTTCCTCTGGGCCACAGAGCTCCCCAGGCATCCCCCTCACTGCTCCGCTCCACTGCCCCTGGTTTGCTTCCCCACTGGTCTGCCTCACCCCAGGCCACAGCGGAGGCAATGGGCCTGATTCCTTACCTGCTGTGTCCTTGGAGACTCCAGAAACATCTGCTGAATGAGTGAGAGGAGCCCGAGACCCACCCCCAGTCCTCACCCGCTGCTCCAGGCCCTGGTCAGAATCCACCCCTACCCTGGCCCCAGGCTGGCCAGACCAGGAATGTCATGTGGGCGCCCACTCACACCCAGGGGCTCCTACAAAGCCCGTCTTTGTGGGAGCTCAGACCCTGGGAGAAGTCCCAACCTTCAGCCGTCCTCTTAGAGGTTAGGGCGGGCACAGGATTATGGGGGCAGCCTTCCCTGCCCCCCACACCAGTCACTGGACCTCAGGGCTACACAGGCTGGAGCCAGAGCTGGGGTACCATTGACTCAGCACCCTATGGCAGGCCCTGAGCTGGCAGCATGTGCCCGTTTTGTCATTTCCACCAGGTATCGCGCACGTTGCCTTTTGCAAAAGAAAACATGGGCTGAGCCACTTCTCCAAGGCCACATAGGGACGCAGTGTTCCCCCAGCGCCTCACACGTCTACCTTTCCCAGCTGACACCTGCAAGTCACCGAGTCTTGGAACGTCAGGAGCTGTCCCCCATGACAAAACTAGCCCCAATGTTCAGGGCCTGCTCCTGGCTCTGACCACTAGGTCAAGAAACATAACTGCTTGTGCCTCAGTTTCCCCATTTACAAAATGGGAAAGATTAGAACTAACTCTGCCCTGGGGCAGAAGCTCACCAATGCCAACCCCAATGCCCACCAGGCTGTGGCTGTCCCCTGGGCAAGAGGCTGGACCACTGCCTGGGATTCTGCCATTCAAGCTCTAAGCCATCCAGCAAACCTGGATGTGAAGGCCTCTCTGAGCAGCAGCAGCATCAGGCTTGCCACTTGTCACAAGTGCCTATGCATCCCAGATGCCCTTCCACCAGTTTCTCTAGAACATTCTATTCCATTCCCTGTACCTGAATCCCTCCAACCATTACTCATCCTATAAACTCCTGCTCATCCTTAAAGTCTCAGCATCACTGTCGCCTACTCCTGGAAGCCTTCCCAGATGTCCCAGGCTGGGCCAGGTGCCTCTAGGCTTCCACAGTGCCCTGGGTGTCATCCATTGTGGCCCCAAGCACCTTGCTTTCCATGTCCATCTCCCTGGGCCAATGGTATATGCAGGGGCTGTCTCTCCCTTGTTCACGCCTCGTCTCCAGTGGCCAACCCAGGGCCTGGTACACAGCAGGTGGCCCGTGTTTGTTGAATGCATAAGGGAAAGGATGTCTGCAAATACTGGAAATCAGAGGGCACTCCCAAGGTCTAATCTCCCCAGTTTACAGACAGGCACATTGAAGTTCAGAGAGAAACTTTCTCTGAGTCCAGGGATGAGGCCCAGGCCTCTGGACCCCAGGGGCCCTGAAGCCCAGTTCCTTCTGCCTATTTTGGTTGCTGTGTGAGCCCAGGCAGCACTCTGCCCCTCTCTGGCCTTCCCACCTGTAGGTCCTGAGGTTAGGCATGTTCGTTTTGGAGGAGAGTTGGGCCTATTTACAGTCTTTAGAAAGGACCTGGACCCCGAGCAGCACCCCGGTCCCCAAACCCAGAAGGAAAAGGGGTGGGAGTGGAGGCAGCTGCAGCCTCCCTCCCCGGCCTCCACACTCCTAGTCCCTCCGGCCAGTCCCCAGATCCGCAACACCTGGGCCGCCAGCTGCATGCCCCCCTCCTCCACGACCCATTGTTCTGCCAGAAATGCTCCCATTCAAACAGGGAGAAGACTGCTCTCCCCGGGGAGCAGGTTGTGGACCAAAATAAACCCTGGCCTTCCTTCCTGCCCGCTGTGCTCTCAGGTCCGAGGGAGGACCAGCCAGGAGGTGGCCAGGCTGCGCCATGCCAGCCCTTCTGGAACAGCCCAGAGAGCTAATGTTCCTGGCCCCTGCCCAACAAATGCCAGCACCCCACTATTGTTATAAGCCAAAAAAAGCCCACTAAAGCTTGAGAGACTGCCAGGACATTCAGTCGCTCAATGAGCATTTATGGAGCACAAACTGTGTACTAGGCACTGGGAATAAACCAAACACCAAAGGAGATCCGGTCCCTGCTCTCCAGGGGATCCCTACCCTCTAGACCCCATGCCAATTCCTTATTACAAAATAATTTGGGTGCTCCAGTACTACCCCGAAATGGAATCTGCAGGGACTATCATCTACCTCTGCCCACCAGTTTAAAAGTAAAATTAATAGATGGCGATGAAGGCTGCCATCTGAGGGGACTGGGGATGGCGTCCGGAATGTCTCATGTTCTATTTAATCTGGGGCCATACGAATATAAAACATCATTGAGTTAGATGGCTGCACATCTCTGAATACACTAAAAACCAGCGAAGCGTACACTTTAAAAGGTGAATTTTACGGTATGTGAATTATATTTAAATAAAAGAATATCTAACATTTCTCCAAAAAAGATATGCAAATGGCCGATAAGCAGCTGAAAAGATGGTCCATGTCACTGACCACTAATGAGACGCAAGTCAAAATCATGATATATCACCTCACCCCCACCAGGATGGCTCTTATCAGAAAGACGGACAGTATTGTCCTGGCCGGTGCGGCTCAGCGGTCGGAGCGTCGGCCTGCACCCCAGAGGGCAGCAGGTCTGATTCCGGCCAAGGGCACACCTGGGTGTGGTCGGGGCCCCTGTGGGAGGCAACCAGTCGATGTGCCGCTCTCACATCGGATGTTCTCTCCCCTCCCTCCCTTCCACTCTCTCCAAAAATCGATGGGAAAAAATATCCTCAGGTGAGGATTAACCACAACAAAGACGGGGGACAGTATCCAGGGCTGGCGAGGATGTGGAGAAACGGGAGCCCCCCCCCCACGGATGGCATGGACAGTGGAAACTGGGGCAGCCGCTGTGGAAAACGGGTTTGGCAATTCCTCGAACACGCACAGTTACCACATGACCCAGACACTCCACTAACAACACCTGCCCGAAAGAAACGCAAACACATGTCCACACAAAAACGGGTACACACTTGTTCATAGCAGCACAATTCATGTGGCCAAAAAGTGGAAACAACCGCAATGGCCGTCAGCAAATGAATAAACAAAGTGTGGTCCACACACTGGAATATTACTCAGCCAGGAAAAGGAGGGAAGCGCTGAAGCTACAGTGCGGGGGCACCTGCAAACACGACTCTCAGTGAGAGCAGCCAGACCAAAAGGCCACACAGTGTGATTCCAGTTATGTGAAACGTCCGGGCCAGGCACAGCCACACACAGGAAGCAGGTTGCTAGGGGCTGGGGGAGGGGGTGCGGAGGGGCTGCTGATGGGGACAGGGCTTTTTGGGGTGGTGGGATGTTCTGGAATTTGAATACTTTAAAATGGTGAGTGTATATCTCATCAAGCAGAACACTTACTATCAATATTAACTGCATATATTGATACCTCTATGCCCCTTACTATATATATTTTATACCTCATTTTTATGTTAAATGAATTTAAAAATTTTAAAAACAAGATTTGGCCCACACTGTAATACAAGCAGAAAATAAAATACTCCCACAAGATGAGATTTATGAATCACTTCCACCTTGACAGGCAGTCAGTGGGTACTCAAGACATGTTTGGTTTTTTTAAATTGATTTTAGCCCGGCCGGGCGTGGCTCAGCGG